TAAACTATTGAATCCAAAACTTAAAATCCTAGAAATTGCTGGATGATCGAAACAATAATACCTAAATTTCAGTATTATTTTCTTGTAGCTCCGTTCATTCCTACCACTAATCTATTATCATATTCGAATAAGACGTCTAATTATAAGATAATTTTCATCTATTACATTACTGGCGGAAATGTATAATAACGGAGATAGCTTTTCCAAATAAATTTATATTTTCTTCCATTATTTCCCGCCATTATCGTCTGCCTCTCACCTAACACTGTGTGTCTCTCGCGTCTCCTTCATAAATCATGACGCGCATGCGTACCCGTACACGTCACGCAGCCAATTAAAAGCGTTTTTGCTAATTCAGAGTATATTTGGCCCAATCAAAATCGAGTTTTATTTTGGGTCTCTCATATTTTGAAATTCAAGTTCAGTTCCGACCATGGAAGTCTGCGATGGATGTCACTTAAAGTATATGGAGCTGATTGCGAGTTTTTAGAAAAACGTAGAAACTATAGCATTTTTTCAATCGCATGGTGTTCTTCCAACCTCAGTAAAGTGTACTACGAACAAGACGGAATATAAATATCGCAAAGACCAACATATGTGGCGTTTGGTAAGAATCCCAGAATGCAATGACGAACAAGAACCAGGCCAATAGGGTAAGAAATAGGCGATTCCATCATATGGTGAGAGTCAGTTAAATTAGGTCAGGTTAGGTTAGGTTTGGTTATTGTTTTTTCTAGTGTTTTATTGTGTATTTGTTAGTCGCTTAGGCACTTTTTTTTCTCGGAAAACGTCAAACGAAAAAAAAAACCCGGCTAATTTCCGCCAAAAAGGAAGGTCATATTCGGTCTCAGCACACACAAATACACTAGAAAAATATATTTTTAACTTGCTACAAGAAAAATTTACCTTAATTTCTAAGATTCCCCCGCTGACTGAAACTAAATAATACCAAGCCAAGATCCAGTCTAATATTAAATCACCATAGTTTGTGATATTGAACTTCTCTTACTTCAATCTTCCAGAATCGACAGACTTACGAATAATACTAACACACTCTTATAACCCCAACACAATTATCCGGCAGAAAACAAAATGTCATTATGTAAATTATGTAACTAAAATTTATGGACACCAAGTGGCTTATCTTCTTATGTTAAAGCCTTCACAGTATACTTACGTAAGTTGTCCATGTGGTAGGGTATGAACTAACACACACAGACAAGAGAGTACGGCAGGCAGCCACCAGCCTCCCAAACACTATTGACAGTTCACTCAGCTGACTCACAGGTAACGGGAGCTGCCACTTGTCTTACCCATCATATTATATTCACTCCGTAACAAACAGTGACATAATTTGTAAATTAAGAATGTTTTTTAACTAAGATTTATTTGTACTTATGATTAATATAAGGGTCCGACTAATTACCCAAATGTAAATAATGGTCCTACATGAATAAATCGGGTTACCAATCACTTGACTAGTATTTGGTGTCACAAAGTAAAAAAAAATTGGAAAACGTAATTTAATTTGAGTTAATAGATCAAGTGCATGTACCTAACCTAACCTAACACAACACAACTCAGATTAAATTAAGTTTATCAATTTTTTGTGACTTTGTGACACCAAATACTAGTCGAGAAGTGATTAGCAGTCCGATTTATTCATGTAGGACCATCATTTGACTTCATTGCGGCTACATTTGGGTAATTAGTCAGACCGTGTTGGACAATGAGCTGAAGTTCTCGGGCCATTGTGAGAAGAAGGTAAATCAGGCAAATAAATTATTGGGTCTTATAAGAAGGTCGTTCAGATATCTAGACGGTCCGTCCCTTGTAACGATCTTCAGGAGTGAACTGCTTCCCCATCTGGAGTACTGTCACCCCATCTGGTCCCCGAGATATGCTAGGGACTGTCAGTTGGTTGAAAATGTTCAAAGGAGGGCCACCAGACTGGTGCCTGCACTTCGGCACCTCAACTACCCTGAGAGATTGGAGCGCCTGAACTTGCCTAGCTTATACTACAGACGGACAAGGGGGTACCTAGTTGAGGTGTATTGTAGCGTACCGTATGTGGCCAGTTGTCAATTATCTTAGTATGGGCACACAAACGTACGTACATTTAGATATCTCACACTCAGGAATGAGGTAGAAGAGAAACTCACAATGCGCTTTCTGTATATATATATTGTTGTACAGCGCAGTGCTTAGGAGTGACTAGGTGGAGAAGCTTGCTCAGAGGTCCTGTAGGGCGAGGAGGAGCTGTGAGAGATGTTGCTGGTCCGGTAGCCGAGTGTAGAATGGTCTCCCTGAACATGAAATGCTAGTGACAGGGGGGAAGGAGGTTCAGGGGAAGAATAAAGGGAGCAGGCATGGCCGTATTTATACAGTTTACGAGGATCAGGATTTGGGGTGAGCGTAGCGAGAGGGCCAATCACAGCGGCTTAAGCGTAAGGTGTGAAACGCTCTGATCCTGAGCTGGAGGTTGAAGGTCGAGACCAGGTCGGCGATCGTACGCAGACGCCGACTGGACACCGGAGGAGACGGATTGTGGGGTTCTAGATGTTTGGTTCACACTCAGGATGGGATGGCGAAAGGAAACTCACAATGTGCTCTCTATATACATGTTGTATTGGATGTACAATGCAGCTTGGTGCTGGGAAGGCAGCATGGTTACAAGCGTGATGTAGAGAGAGCTGATTGGTGAGGATGCTCAGAGGAGGACCAGCCTGTGGGTGCCATGCTCGCCGGCGGGAGCGAGGACCACCAGGCAGGCGGAGGAGGAGGAGGTGTTGTTGGCTGGTTGGTGGAGGTAGAAAGAGACAGGTCACCACGAGGTCAGGTCTTAAATAGCGGGGGGGTAGGCGTGGCTTAGTAGTTGACCCCCGCTCCGTGCTGTATGGCAGCGCTGGTTGACCTAGACCACGAGGCATACACTGGGGAATTGGTGGGGTCGGCTACTCAGCAACAAACAGCGTTTGTAGGGGAGAAATCCACTACAATACTCCCCCTTCCCTCCAGGCGGTGTAGGAGACTTGTTGTCTGCAGGGTTGCATAGCACATGTGAGGCAGAACGGACGGTGTTTGCCTCATGTGAGACAACGGCGATGGCGTGGATGAGCCGGTCGCTGGACACAACTGTCTAGATACACAATATCTGTGGGAGTAAAGAGGGAGAAAAAGGGTGTGTGGAGGCGATGAATGTTGTGCTTCCCTTGCGGCAGGTACAGAGTCGTCAGATGCGCCTGCTGGGGTGTATGGGCCTGGGTCAGGAGCAGGGGCTGCGTCAGCAGAAGCGGATGAGGGCTCGTGACAGCAGCTGGGTCCACGACAGCAGCAGGGTGCAGGACATTAGCAGGGAGTACCTGAGGGAGAAAAGAAGGGTGTGTGGGTCCGCACTCAGGAACAGGGGCCGCGTCAGGGGTTATTGCTGGGCCAAGGTTGGCGTCTGAGGCAGGACGGGTGTGCTGGGGTCGGAAGAGGAGCGACTGTCTGCTTAAAGTAGCACAGCTGCTCTAGGGTGTCTAACCTGGGGTGTAGAGACAGTAGCTGTAGAGCCGATGAGAGCTGCCTCTGGGTGGATAAGCCAGTCTTCCATGTTGCTTGAAGACTGGGAGCGTGATCTGTTTCTCCTCCAGCCTGTATTAGTGCGAATCTCCGGGGGTCACCATTTGTGGGGTTTTTGGGATGTTTGGTTCACACTCAGGATGGGATGGAGAAAGGAAACTCACAATGTGCTCTCTATATACATGTTGTATTGGATGTACAATGCAGCTTGGTGCTGGGAAGGCAGCATGGTTACAAGCGTGATGTAGAGAGAGCTGGTTGGTGAGGATGCTCAGAGGAGGACCAGCTTGTGGGTCGCCATGCTCGCCGGCGGGAGCGAGGACCACCAGGCAGGCGGAGGAGGAGGAGGTGTTGTTGGCTGGTTGGTGTAGGTAGAAAGAGACAGGTCACCACGAGGTCAGGTCTTAAATAGCGGGGGGTAGGCGTGGCTTAGTAGTTGAGCCCCGCTCCATGACGTATGGCGGCGCTGGTTGACCTAGACCACGAGGCATACACTGGGGAATTCGTGGGGTCGGCTAAGCAGCAACGAACAGCGTTTGTAGGGGAGAAATCCACTACAGTCTATTAAGGCTCAAAGTTCCTTTCATTTAGTAAGCTACAGTTTGGGGACCTGTAGATACACCCGACAATAAGTTTTTTTCTTTTTTAAATGCTATTTTGCACAAAAAAGGAAGGTCAGTTTTAAGTAGAACACCAAAAATAACATTCGCATACCAAAGGAACCAACCAACCAACCTAACCTAACTAAAAAAAAAAGTGATTTGCCCCAAAGATAAATGTCAGATTATCGAAAAAAGCAAGAAAATTAGCGAAAAAATATTTTTTTCATCTGAAAAAAAAAAGGTGATGGGTGGTTAACGAAAAATGACCCGGCCAAATAATCAAAACACCTAGTTTACAAATATTATAATGCCAAATTATGCCTCGACATAACAATATCTTTAATTTGTTTACTGTATTTGAAAACCTACACTACTGAGGCCAAGAGGGAAGATATTGAAGCAAAACAAACCACGGATATGACAAAGACAATAAATTCAATAGGGTTGATTTTATTCATAGCAGTTGTGTTAGTAAATAATGTGTTATTGCATAATACATATTTATACTAATTAATTTTATTTATGATAGTCATTTTTCCGTACCATAAATATAGGAAAAATATCATTAGTAAAATAAAATAAGTCAATTATATGATGATTATGAAATAATTATATTATCAAATTATTTAAATATATTCACAAAGTAAAAATATTGTGGTTATTAAGGAACTTGTTGTCAGTTGTGATTAATGTTGGAAGTTGGGTGAGTGTTGTGTCGGTACTGGGAGATAGTAATGTTGGTGACAGAGCCGCGGACACGTCAACACGCGGCCAGGTAAACAACTGAGGTGTGGGAGTGTGAAGTAAATTAGTTTTCCTATTAGTTATTTCCCAATGTATAGGAGGCTTTAATGTAAGAATACCTAAGTTTGCTTGTCTCTGACGTTTTGGCTATTTATATGACGATAGTGCAGGTGGAGGTCAGCAAACTCTTGGAACAACTGTCAGAGAGTGTTGTGACGGCACCGAGTGTGAGCTCTTTCAAGACCAGACTGGAGTAGGTTCAGGTACATTCAGGAGCCGGTGCATGCCCAGTACTTACCAACAGTGTGTAACAGAGACGTGACCGACCACCCAAGTGGCGAAAGAGCCGATCAGTGATGAAGAGAATAAAAGTAAAAGGGGCGCCATGTGCAGCTGTTTCATGCGTGTGACATTAAGTTACTGTGTAGGCCGGTAAGGAGGGGTTAGGGTCATCTCGTACCCAAGACAACTCGTACCCAAGATAAATAGTACCCATAAAAGTTAACTCGTTCCCAAGACAACTCGTACCCAATATAATTTGTACCCAACTCACCAGATAAGTCATACCCAAGATTACTTACACCCATTTCAAGAGATAATCCATACCTATTAGTATATATGCCATGCATTTTAGTTTATCTATGATTAAAAAAAAAATGTAAATCTTGTAGGAGAGTGCAGTGAAATAGGGAAATGTAATGCAGGGTTTAAAATGGTTGCATCTCATAACATAAGTATGTTATTCAGTTACACAAACATTGCACTACAAGTACTTACTTCACACTATGTGGTTTACAGATTTCAGGCTAATAGATTTGGCAGTTTCAAGTTATAAACTTGGCGATGTAAACGTTTAAAATGGTCATAAGTCAACAAAATATAGACATGTATAAAATCCGGGTCTGCCCATATCGTCACCACTATTTTTAACACGTTTCGTCTCCACTGCTTTACCCGTTTCGTCACCCCGTTCATTCCCATCAATATATACACGAAAATAACTGTTGCTTGGGATAGAAAATAGTAAAAAGCACTAAGACAATTTATTAAAGACGAAAATAAATAATAAAAACATTGTTAATGCGCCTGCAATCATCTCGCTGTTCGGTGGATTATACGTTGGTGCCAAATCACCTTCATCTGTACAGTATTTTGTTTATTTACCAATGTATTAATCGTTTTCTTTATTTACCAATGTATTAATCGTTTTCTTTATTTACCAATGTATTAATCGTTTTCTTTATTAAACAATTAATATTCATGTATAGTAATAACACAATAATTCTTCCTTTGTTATGTAATTTGTTTATTTACCAGTGTTTTAATACTTTTTTTATTAAATAATTAATATGTATAATTATAACAATACTTTTCGAGTCATCTGTATGCATGTGCAATTTCTATTTGTGTAAAATAATAACTTACAATTTGTCACGAATACCAGCGACTGTTAGTGGTGAAACGGAATTGATATTGGCGATGAGTTGGGGTTTTGGTAACGGAGTGGATTGGTGATGATATGGGGTGTATCCATAAATGAAATACAGTAGTCATAAGGATATGAAAGAACCAAGAGTGAGAATATTGGCCCATGCATATACAATTAGTTATGTTATTGTATGTTAATAATACACTGAATAGATTTGTTTATAAAGTCACGACCACATGGAAACAAGACCAGTATGAATAATGTAGCAACTTGATTATGTGTCACCCAATATATATATATATATATATATATATATATATATATATATATATATATATATATATATATATATATATATATATATATATATATATATATATATATATATATATATATATATATATATATATACAAGTATCACTCGTGATCTATATATGCTGATAACCACAAAGAAAACACGTTCCCAGCTTTTCGTGTAATTCACATCTTCAGGGGTGTTTTCTTTTATCAGCATATATATATATATATATATATATATATATATATATATATATATATATATATATATATATATATATATATATATATATATATATATATATATATATATATATATATATATATATATATATATATATATATATATATATATATATATATATATATATATATATATATATATATATAGTAGTAGTTCACAACTTTCCTAACCCAAATCTATTATGATATTAAAAATCGTCTAATTTTAAGATAATTTTTTTCTACAGTATTACATTACCGTCGGAAACGTATAATAATGGAGATAGCGCATGCCAAATCTTTCTCTATTTTCTTCCATTAATGTGCATGAGACTGGATTATATTGGAAGGAAATGCCTGATAGAGTTTACAATTCCAAAAAGGAAAACAGTACTGTATTTACAAAAGTAAAGTTAGACATGTGAACAGTCCTCATAAATGTAACTTGTTCACATTAAATTATCATCTATAGAATACAAATTTCTGCTATTGAAAGGCATCGCACACACACAGCTGGAATGTACCAGCTATACTGCTATGGTATATAATTTCTCATTTATAAAATGAATGAATCTAACCTACCAGATCTAAGCTACCTTACAAAACTTAATTAACCTAAAATAATGCAGTAGTACTGTAATTATATTGTACTAGTCATAAAAAAAATCTTGTCCTTGAAAGGTGCCATTCCACCCTTCACAGAAGTAGAGGCAATGTTGAAGGTCACCTGTAAATTTGTGTCGATTCTTGAAATTACCAAAATATTACAAAATTTAGTAAGAAGTTATCATCTATAAAATTGATCCAAAAATTTTCTCAAGAATGAATGCTATTTGTTGTTTTGTTTAGTAAATGTTGCAAGAAATGGATTTCCTTAGTAAAGAGTGCATTTAAACACTTTTTGAAAGTAAACTGCACAGGCTATCCAGTAGTAATGTTTCATCTAATGTAGACTATCATTGTTGGACTGTTGCAGTACAGTACTTGACTTTTGGGCACAAAATTGCTTATATTTCCCTTAAAAGTGATGACAAGTGACACCCAATCCCCATATTACAGTTGCTGGGTCCCAGACTACCACACTCCTGGAGGTTTCCCTAATTAAAATATTAAAGTGCAACAATCACTGGGAAAGGGTGAGAAGCTTTTGGACTGTCAGTATTTTCGAATATCCACAGAATGTAGTTATTGGGGTTATGATCACTGAATGTTTCATTAAACAATGTAATGGATTCTTGGACTAACCTGTTCATAGTGAAATTTATAATGTACAGTACAGTATATTTATTATAATTTATCTTTTTTTTCAGGTCTTAAACATCTTGAGTCATGCCTAAACGTCCTGATCCAAGGTGGTCTCTTCCCAAAGGTGTTGAACCCCCAAGATTGCACCTGTATAACTCGCTCACACGTAAAAAGGAATTGTTTTTACCTCAAGGTCATGTCGTGACATGGTACAGCTGTGGACCAACTGTATATGATGATTCCCATATGGGGCATGCAAGGTACTACACTGTAAAAATTATGATTTTAAAACCTATAGTACAGGAGGGCCCTCCAATTTCGCAGGGGTTAGGTTCTCAAAATGGCCGCGAATCGGCAAATCCGGGGAGGGGGGGTGCATTTATTTCTTACTTGTGTACAAGGAAGTGTATATTCCCTTTATGTGTTTGCCCTTAGGACAATTATTTCTTTTACCTGAATTGTATAACCTATATTTGTGTATGTGTTTGTAGACATACACAAATCACAAACAAATAAATAATATGGGAAAATACTGACAATAATCAGAAACAAATTTATTAAAAATGTGGCAGTCTGCCCTCAAGTTCATGCTTTTTTTAATAAAGTAATAAAGCAAAGACTTGTTTCTGATTATTTGTGAGAGGATTTCCCAATTATTATTTATTTGTAAGTGTTTTGTGTGTACACACACACACACACACATATACCTGTATTTACAATACAGGTAAAGGAAATTACTGTCTCTAGAACAAATGGCTCCCTGTCCCAGCCGCAAAAATGCCAGCAACTTTAAAACTAACCATAGACATTCTTGGGTACATCCAGGGTGTCATCCGCAAATAATTAATAGAGGACCGCGAAATAAAAATCCACAAACTTGGGGGCCCCTGTAACACTTTTTTAGCTTTTGTTTTGTTAAAGGTGTAGAAGAGGGTGACCACCAGAAGGAATTGTCTGAATTAGTTGAAATTTTTTCTCCAAACTTATACCTGTATCATGATATTAAACACAAAAATGGAAACGACAATGCTTAGAACCTAATAGAACCTGACCTAACATACCCATAGTTTGGGTATGTTAGGTTCTATTTGGTTCTATGCATTATTTTTTATTTATTTTTTATATAATGCTAATAACATGATATTAAACACAAATGAAAACGACAATGCATAGAACCTAATAGAACCTGACAATCTTTTTATTTACTCTATCCTGCTTCACAATTCTCTTCTCGGTGCCATTTTTGTTGTTTACCTCGCTGAATCCTTCTTCAAGAGAGTTTTCCTATAAATGATGGTGAACGCTTCCACTAATCCCTCCTCGCCATTGCTGATGTATATCAACTTCAAAATTAAAGTAAGTTGTTTAACACATAAATTAATATGAAAATGCATAGAACCTAATAGAACCTGACCTAACTATAGTGACAATAGGAACATGCAGTGTTGGTGTAGCATCAAGACTCAATAATCTACTCTAGCATTCAGAAAACTGAAGTGCTGTACCTATTATATCTACAAGGTTTTTGTCATGCAATTTGATTTAACCAATACAGTAATATTTCCTTTAGCCTGAATCCCTCAAACCTGGAACTCTCTGATAGCCGGAATTAAAATTGGCTCAGAGGGGCACATTTTCTGGAAAATTATGAGAAAGTTTTCCTGGTACCAGGAAAATTTCGGGGATGAGGTCATTTTATTCCGGGATTGAGAGATGAAAATCAGGGTAATTTTCTGAAACTCACAAGAATATTTTTTCGTTACCCAGAAAATTCCGGGGATGGGGGACCTCATTACCCGGAAATCTTGAGTAGGCCGACCTTGAGAATGTAAGGTCAGCCAGGCCTCCCCTCAGGAGCCCAGTCTTCACTTGAGCCTCACAAGAATCGGACGGGTGACTTAACTCAGTCAAGCTGAGCCCTGTCCTTAACTAACACTCACAGCTTACAGTGTTAATAACGGTGTATTTACTAATAGCCTGTGACCATTTTAGTTTATCAATAAATGGAGGAAAACACCATTTGGGTTTGTAACTTAACCCCTTAACTTGTTTATATATAAGCCAAGTTAGAAGGGAACTCTACCCAAAGCTTATATAATCTCTCATTTCCGGAAGTGTTCTGCACCAATTGTTCCGGCTAATGAAGAAACAGTAATGTCATCGATAGCCGGAATCCCTCAAACCTGGAACTCTACGATAGCAGGAATTGAAATTTGATCAAAAAATCTTTCCCAAGGCTGGAATTTTCCAAAAATTTCCAGCTTTAGGATCATATTTTCCGAGGTTGAAAACCGAGAGAATTTTCTGAAAATGTCTTGAATAAAGATGAAAGTATTTTTTAGGGGGACCTGACCTGACTCAATGTCAGGTGGAGGTAGGGTGGGGCATTAATGGTCTCATATTACTGACCTGCTGATGGAATGTCAGGCCACCCTTTCTTGGGTGGAGGATTAGTGAGTCTCATGACCTGAAGATGTCTTGAATAAACACGAAACCTAAAGTATTTTTGGGGAGATTGTGATAAGTATAAGTATAAATGAGCAAAGTTGTATCCCTTCAACATTACATTACATGATATTTTAAAATATGGAGTGAGAAAGCAGAAAGGTTTGGGCAATTAGAGAGATGGAGTGGTAACATGCACCAGTGTTGCCAAGCAATAAGCTCCTCAACAGCTGATCTTTAAATTCGCCTCCAGGCAGTCACAACAAGACCCTCACTGGGTGCTTGTTGTCTTAATTTGTGTGTGTGTGTTTTTTGAACTTGCCAAACACATTGTAGGATTTGAAGAAGTTGATGAATGTTCAAGAGTCAGGTGACATGCCAAGACACTTACACAGCACACATTAACAGCACTATTAAACCATTGTCTTATAACATTTTATATTATAAATTTTATTTTAAAATTAATTGATACATGATGGCTCAACAGGGCTACATTTACACTTAGACAACTGATCAATGTATAAACCAGGGCATTATACATTAGTGATGTCACGGAGCTTTGAAACTGCAACCACATAAATTATCACAATCTGTACTCGAATGTACTAAGTTCATTACTAAAATTATTATGTATGGTGCAAACTAAGGGACGTTTATATTTAAGTTAATTGCGATCTTACAAGAATTCCAGCAATGTAAGTTATATTCTAAGTCAAATCTGTGACATTTTGTAAGCAAAAAAAAAAAAAAAACCGCTTTGCCTTTCATAAACCTTGAGTATGCCTTAATCTCCCCCTCCCATCCGGAATTCGGAGGAAGAAGGGATTATTGGGGGGGGGGGAGACAGCGACACCCCACCAAACGGCTAATTCCCATGTGTGTGTGTGTGTAATAATAATTAACGATTTATTGAAAAAGTTCTGCAGCCCAAAGGCTGAAAATATACATTGGACAAAAAGAGTGTGAGTAAGAAATAAGGGATGTTTATACTCAAACTAATCGCTAGCTTACAAGAATTCCAGCAATACAAGTTATATTCTCGTAAGTCAAGTCAGTGACATTTTATAGGCATTAATCTCTCCTCCATTTGTTGTGACTAGGAAGAGGTTGAAGGATCCATTGGGGGGTAAAAGTGGCCGCACCACCCCCTCCCCCAAAGGGTCTCCTCACTGTTTGGCTAAAGTATTGACTCATTCATGATACAAAAATATTTATTTGTTTTTCATTAATTAGTACAGATATGCGACTGCAATAATCTGTGCTTATTAATACATGTACCCTTCATATACAACACAGTATAGTACTATGTATATACCTTAGGGGTAAAAAATAATGTCATTCAAGACATATTCAGGTCATAAGACCCACCAATCCCCCACCTAACAACGGGTGACCTGACGTTGCATTGGGTCAGGTTAGTAACATGACCCAATAAACTCCACCCAACCTTCATCACAAGTGTTAAGACATGATTAGTTACGTATTACAGTCAATTGAGTGAAGTGCGTAAGAGACGTGACCGATCGCCCAAGCGACTAACGAGCCAATCAGTGGTGAAGAGGATAAAAGTAACAGCTTTATTCATGTCCATATCATATAGAGCTTTTGATTTTCAAATATATTTATTTAACCAAACTTTTAGATAAAGTATACAGGATTATTTTGATAAAAAATGGTGTATCTAACGATATTAGAACTGATTTTATTGACTCCGGTATCAACATTTATGTTTTTTCATAAAAAAAATGGAATTCCCATCACTATATCATATAGAAATATGTTGTTTAAGGATATCTTATTGGAAAAGTTTTGTAGAGAATTTATTAAGCATCATTATGATATCAAATTCATCTCCCTATCACAAATAGCCACGCTATAAGGAATGGGGGCTGATCACGAGACCCTACCCCCCAAAAGAGTTCACTTCCGTCAACACACACAACCACACACACACCACCATCACCTATACATCACACACAACCACACCCTCCAACAACCACACACACACCAACACCACCTATACATCACACACAACCACACCCTCCAACAACCACACACACACCACACACCACACTACCTATACATCACACACACACCACACACCCTCCAACAACCACACACACACCAACACCACCTATACATCACACACAACCACACCCTCCAACAACCACACACACACACAACCAACACACCTATACCTCACACACAACCACACCCTCCAACAACCACGCACACACCAGCACCACCTATACATCACACACAACCACACCCTCCAACAACCACACACACACACCAACACCACCTATACATCACACACAACCACACCCTCCAACAACCACACACACACCAACACCACCTATACATCACACACACCCACACCAACACCACACTATACATCACACACACACCACACCCTCCAACAACAACCACACACACACCAACACCACCTATACATCACACACACAACCACACCCTCCAACAACCACACACACACCAACACCACCTATACATCACACACAGCCACACCCTCCAACAACCACACACACACCAACACCACCTATACATCACACACAACCACACCCTCCAACAACCACACACACACCAACACCACCTATACATCACACACAGCCACACCCTCCAACAACCACACACACACCAACACCACTCACACACCCCCAGCAAGGGAATTGAGACACATCTGCATGTGTGTGACTGCATGGTAGCTAGTTAAATATCAGCTCTTGAGGAGCACTTGGCAACACTCATTTCTGCTCCAACTTTCTATTAACCCACACCTTTCTGCATTCACACTCCATATTTTAAAATGTTATGTAATGTAATGTTGAAGGGATACAACTTTCCTCATTTATACTTATACTTGCCACAATCTCTCTAAAAATATTTTAGGTTTCGTGTTTATTCAAGACATCTTTAGGTCATGAGACCCACTAATCCCCCAGCCAAGAAAGGGTAACCTGTCATTCCCTCAGATCAGTAATATAAGACCACTAATCCCCCACCCTACCTCCACCTGACATTGCATCAGGTCTGGCCAGTTACACGAGACCCACTAATCCCCCACAGCTCCATGGGAGTGGAAAATACCAGTCTTTGTTGTAATACACAGCTTCATTCATGCCCATATCATGTAGATTTTTTATTTTTAAATGCCTGTATCATTGTATTTTTATGTCCTACTGAAGTTTCATCTTATTGTATATTTCATTGGTTACTTGCAGAGATCAATATTGACTGAGATGTTCAGAGATGAAAAATATTCACATGGCTTTAAATGTATCAGACATTTGTATTTAAAACAGTCTTTGTCTTCATCTTGTCTCAGTTTTTCCCTTTTTATGTCCAGTGTTTCTGAACTTAAATGATAACTTTGGTATTCTTCCTTCAGGTCGTACGTCAGTTTTGATATTCTTCGTCGTGTCATGCAAGACTACTTTGGCTTTGTCATTCATTATGTCATGAACATCACAGACATTGATGATAAAATCATCAAACGGGCCCGCACCACGTATTTAGTGAAGCAGTATCGTGAGTAAGTTGCATGTAGTGATTACTGTTTTGTTATACATTACAGTACTGTAATTGATACTAGTACAATACTGTACTGTATTCAAGTATTTAAAAAAAATAAATGTACAGTACAGTACAATAATTCTTTACATAATGATCTATCATGTGCTATTTATGAAGGGATGCTGCCCACTTCTATGTACTGTACAGCAGGGGTGCTCAACCCACTGCAGCCCTCGGCAACTAGTAGAAATATGATTAATATTACTGCATATTTTATAGAAATTAAATGTAAACAAATACTGTTTTTGTAAGAGGTGTGCTTATTATGATTCCTTCTTTAAATTTACAATATATGCTTTATATTTAATAATCAGTGTTATTAATATGTACTATATTACTTACTATGCTTATTCACATTAAGGTCAATGTGCGGCCCTCATCACACAGTTGTCCATCTAATGTGGCCCACTCATGCAAAAAGATTGAGCACCAATGCAAGTGTACAGTACTGTATGTATAAATTTTCTGACAAAAGCTTGTTGTCAGATCACAGGTGCCAAGGGATCAGGTGTATGATGATATTGCTGCTGCAATGGAACACCACAATGCCATCATTGCCACAACCACTGATCCAGATAAGTGTAAAATGCTCATCGATGAAGTCCAGAAGGTATGATGTTAGTAATGGTGGCTTTATTTTTCCCAGAAAGTTTTCTGTGTTAGTTGTTGGTTGTCGTTCTGTGAGATAGATGAAAGGCAAAAGAAAGATTATTATAGATATTCATCTTTTCCTTAATAAGGTCTGTACTTAGTCTTAGAAGTCTTCATTTACTTTGTATGACCCTACACCTCAGTGATAGATGCACATATTGTACTGTATGTTTTCTTTATATCAAGGCAACTAATTATAATAGTTGCTGAGATATTGCAATCCTGTGGAGAAAGCAGGGTTGCCATCCACAACCAAAAAAATGTGTGCACTCATGACACTTAAACTTACATCTGTAGGAGACATTGGGTTGCACTCTGGACCAGATGACAGTCAATACCTTTAGCCCACCCATGTCATACAATCAACATGAGTGAGCTTGGGGTGCAAACTTCAGGCTCTATTGTCATCTCGAGCTCAAACTCCACCGCCAAAGGGAGAGGCAAGAACAGGATTGTGATTAATGTGCCGTGAAAAACCAGTAACAGGTATTTAAGACAGCAAAGAAATGGCCTGAGGTTGAGCAACAGAAGAAAACTGATAGCAGGAGGTAGGGTTTGGAGGTGTCTCATCAATTTATCATGGATCACCTTTTCACTGTAAAGGGGAGGAATGGCTGTTGTGCCAGTTGCCATATACAGTATGCAAACCTGTTTTATTCTGACCCTTCATTTCCATCTCAGGAAGGAGAAGGTGTCCCAGATTGTACCACTGCTACCCCTTCAATTCTCTGACTGTTGAAGAATCTTTGGAAAGATTATACTGATACTGTATTATTCTCTAAATTGATGCAAAATTAACCTATTTAGTTATGATAGTTTCATTGTAATCTTCATATAATTTTTTGTATTTTTCTATTTGCGATTTAGCTGTCAGCCAGAAATTGTGTGTTCCCTGGCTTGCCACAGACAGGCCCTGGGCCCGTTAGCAGTCTATGCCTGTCATGCTCGGCTTCTTTTTTCCACTACATTGTAAACTTTTGACAGCATTTATTAATATTTATTTTTAGATAGAATAATTAACATTTTAGCCAGTATGCATTGTGTATATGGAGTTTTGGGAAAGTAAAATTTTATTGAGTGAGAAAATATTACAAATTTGAAAATACTAAGTACAACACTTCAACTTTATTTTATTATATGAAGAATTATTGTATTATTTCAGAGTACACAGTATAAGGGTGGGGGGTTTTCCTTTCTTTTCTGTTCTTTTTAATTTATACCATGGTGGTTAACTTTTAAGCTCTTCAACCTGTTTTTCCTCTTCATTTATTTCCTCCATTAGTTCTGTTTAGCTATTTCATTTTGTCTAGTTACTTCATAACCTCTGACCTTTGGTAGCGTGGCTCGAGGGTTATGCCACATGGGTACCTTGTAATTTTGGTATCAAGCAATGGGAAAGAATGACGGTAAAATAATGCAGGTAAATGATACTCCTAACATACAAATAAAATGGTTTATTAAAATGAAGTTATATTTTATGAATAATTTCAGTAACACAACTACTGTACAGGGGTCAACTCCCTGGCTTTACTCATTTTGTACGGTTAAACTTAGGTACATTCTCCACTTACACCATGACAGGGTGTACATTTACAAGAACACACACAATACTTTTACATACTTGTAGCACCTTTGAGCACCATTATTACAAGTGGCAATGATGCCAGTTACAGCACCAGCACTAATACTTTAACATCACCAGGATTAGTAGCTTCTCTCCACTACTGTGGTACCTTTGCCCACAAGCAAAGTGGTGGTCAACCTACTCTTGCTGACTCCAAACACTCAGACAATTCAGGTGAATACATACAGGTGTACTCGGAGGAATAACACAGCCACCATATAGCCATACAGTGGTCCCTCGGTTAACGAGCACAATCCGTTCCAGCAGGTTGCTCGTTAACCGAAACCATTGTTTCAATGGGTTTTTGGGTAATTGGTTCCAGCTCACCGAAAATTGCCTAAATTCAAAAAATATTTTAGAAATTGACACTTACCTTGAGGTGTGTATGTAGAAGGCTCCTGGATGATGATGCTGATGTGAATTTGAAGTGGGAGGTGGAGGAGGAGAAGGGAGAAGAGAAGGAAGTGGAGGTGGAGGAGAAGCATTTTACTGCTTCTTGGAAGGAGAGTCACCTTCCATGAAATTGTCAGGAACCTCTGGACTGACAGATTCTCCACCATGAACGTCCTCTCTCCTTCTTGAAGTGGAAGGCTGAGGGCTAGCATCATCCTCTCTCCTTCTTGAAGTGGAAGGCTGAGGATAGCATCTTGTTCCCTCTGCCTTTTACTGAAGAAAGTGTCAATTGTGGTCTATGGGGCATCTCTCCTCCTCACCATTAACTTATGTTTAAAGGAGACCATTGAGTCCTCAACATGACACAAATTTAGTTCAGTTTTTTCCACTTCTGGGTGCTTTGATGCCGGTTCCCTGAACTTCTCCCAGTGGTAAATCACATCTTTCAACTCTTCAGTTGACATATGGTCATCACTTTCAATTTCCTCCTCACCACTGTCAGCCTCTAACATCTCATCCAGTTGCTTCAAGTTCATCAGGAGTAAGTTCCTCCTCATGAGACATCACAAGCTCTTCGACATCATTCTCTTCCACTTCAAGGCCCAATGACTGACCAATGGACACAATCTCCTGGTCCAACTCTGTTTCTTCCTCAAATCCCTCAAAACCATGGACTACTGATGGCCACAGTGCTTTCCATGAAGAATTGAGGGAACTAGTGGAGACTTCTTGCCATGATGACACAATAAGTTTTACAGCCTCCAGGATGTTGAATTGTGTCTTCCAGAACTGTTTCAGTGTTAGTTCAGGATCATTGGAAGTTGCCTAATGACACCTCCTAAACATTTTCTTCATGTACAACTTCTTGAAGTTGCTGATCACATTCTCTTCCATTGGCTGTATGATTGATGAAGTGTTGGGAGGCAAAAACAACACTTTCACAAAGTCAAATTGATACTCCAAGTTCTGGCAAGTTCAGGGTCATGACCAGGAGCATTATCCATGAGGAGAAGAGCCTTTAAAGGGAGTTTATTGGTGGTTAGGTAGCTCTTGACAGAAGGGCAAAACACCTCAACAGCCAATTCATTAAAGAGCTGTCTTGTCACCCATGCCTTATGGTTGGACTTCCAATAAACTCCAAGCTTTGTTCTTACCACTTTATGTTGCTTGAACACCCTGGGGTTTTCAGAGTGGTAGACAAGCATAGGCTTCAGTCGGAAATCCCCTGATGCATTGGCACCAAGCAATAGAGTGAGACGGTCTTTCATGGGTTTATGCCCAGGTAAAGAGGCTTCATCTCTGGTGATGAATGTTCTTTTGGGCATCTTTTTCCAGAACAGCCCAGTTTCGTCCACATTGAACACTTGATGTGGAAGATAATTTTCTTCTTCCATCAGTTCTTTAAATTCCACTAAAAATTTGCTGCCCCTTCCTTATCAGCACTAGCAGCTTCACCATGCCTCACAACACTGAAAATGTCACTTCTTTTCTTAAATTTTTCGAACCAGCCTTTGCTGGCCCGAAAATCTTCAAATTCTGTGCCTGAAGAACCAGGTTGATCTGTCTTTAAATGTTCGTAAATCTCCCTGGCTCTTTCACAAATGAATTCATTAGAAACTGAATCCCCTTTCATCTGTTTTTCCCTAATCCAGATGAGAAGTAACCTCTCAGTTTCTGCAATTAGGGATCTACTTTTAAACACTCTGGTAGATTTTTCTCTCACTTTCACTTCTTTAAATTTGTCTTTCTGTGCAATAATTGTCGGCACAGTTGATGTCGACATGCCATATTCTTTGCATAGCGCATTTGTTCTAATGCTTTGTTCATGTTTTTTTTATAAATTCCTGCTTGGTTTGGATTGACATCGCATTTCTTGATGTCTTAGGCCCCATACTGGATTCAAACAATGTCAACACGTGATTTTTTAAGTTTAAACTATGTACTGTAGCTGTAAATAAAGAATATTTTCTTTAAAATAACACTGCACTGCGCTATATATTGTCAATATGTAAAATAAATTTCAAAATGACCAATAATTTGCTTGAAAACACAGAAAAAAAGCATTTAGTTGAAGAGAGTCTCAAGCAAGATGTTACCTCCACTGAAAACAGAGAGAGACGAACGCTTGTTTGGTGTGTTAAAAGGCTGGATGGCGTGCATAAAACTAGTGACTTTACCTTCAATTATGTTCAATAATTGTTAAAATGACTAAAAAATTTAATATTAAACTTTTAAAATTATTGAATAGTATAAACTTCTTGATATTTACTAAAATAGTAAGGAATTTAAGCCCTAGAACCGATTACTGTATTGGCTGACTAATACTACAACTGGTTGACTTCCAAGTGCAAGCGAAAACATGTTGAGGTTGGCTCGTAAGAAACTCGTTAACCGAAGTTCAGAATCTTATGGGAGGTAACTCGTTAACCGAGGCGCTCGTTAACCAAGGGATCACTGTATAACAATGATGGGAGCTGGTGGTGTTTGCTTGGCCTGTGAGATCAACAAGCTGGACAGTGATTGCATCAGGTGAATGGCTGGCCAGTTGACTGGGCCCCAGAAGAGGTGGTTAGTTCCTGACGCTCGTGTTCACGAATTTACCCGAATTTACTGGCCTTCATCCATCTCCCAAACTAGTGTGGAGGTTGTCCCAATCTACCAGGCTCTTGGCCGGGAGGAACCTGTGGGTGGAGGAGTTTCAGACGCTGGACTGAGTTTGTTGACATGAACGTCAACTTTCAAAAGGACGCTAAGGGCGTAGGAATACTTCACTTAAAACACATCAGTTACGTTAATATATCACTTGCATATTCAAACTATTAACTAAGTCAAAATCACTTAATGTGGCGAGGTATAACACGGAGCTGGACATTACCTGTGGGTGGAGGAGTTTCAGACGCTGGACTGACACCTGGGAGCGTCAGTGTCCCGCACTTCTCCTCCTTCGCTCAGCTCCGAGTTCCACTCACCCATCTATATCAGTGAACTCCATTACTGTACACTTTGACGTGTGAAACTGAGACTACGAACTCATTTCCATTTCCTAAGATTCCTTTTTCAAACTACGCTCTGACTGAGCTGTCGAAGACAAGAATTAAATTGATTTCAAGGTTGAGGATGGCAGTCCCTGGTGGGCGGAGCCTAAGACAAGCAGTATCGGGTTACACCCGTTAGATTCTCAAAGATACCCTTAAGCCCCGGGTTAGGGTGCTGGTGGCAGTACCCTCCACCCGGGGTTAAATCGAGAAAAATCAAATTTTCCAATTTTTTTTTACCTTTTAAAATGATAAAACAATAAAAAATAAGTAAGAAAAACTATATATTGACCCTCGAGAAACTTCTCTGGCCGTGCAGAGGAAGGGAGGGAGATAAGGAGACAGTGTTGGCTTGACAGCTGACGCTCGTGGTCCCTCAGAACTCAGCGGCTATTTTTAGCTCGCCTTTGTGTCCGAAGTGGCCAATAATGTATGTATTTACTGATCTTGATACTTATTTGCTGTAAATAATTCATTTAGAATATTTTATTTGCATAATTTTTCACAAAAAAGTGCTTGGCAACAATCGCCAGTGGGTCGCCAGTCTGCCTGGCTGTCTTTGTGTTTGGTAGAGCAAGTAATGCATAAAATAATAATAATTCTGCAAATAAAAACATTTATAACATAATCAAAGCATTGTTTTACAGTAATACTACCCTACAATACAACTACACTTATCAATATTACTTTGATACAACATGATAAAATCTACAAACAATGAAAATGAAACAAACAAAAGTAGGTAATTATGTTCAAGAAGCTTCCCTGTGGCCGAGTGTGTGGTGTGAGAGCAAATAGTTTTTTTTTGGCCCCCCTACATCATTGTGTAAGGTGAAGCGCAGAAGCGTTTACAGCGACCAACAGGGAAGCATGCTAAGTTCATGCTTGCCTTATGTCTCATGAGTTAAGGGCATATAAGCCTGAAGAGTCAAGGGTGTAGAAGCCTGAAGAGTCAATGGTTTATGTCTAAGCAAGTTATTGGAAGCTCCAACAACTTGTCCCTGAAGACGAATTCGCAACTTTCGATTTACAGCAGGTACCTACTTTGCTGCTAGGTGAACAGGGACCAAGGGGACTAGGAAGAGTGTCCAAATAACTTTCGCCGACCGGGAATCGAACCCATGACATCTTGCTTGCGAGGCAAGAGTGGTACCACTCTACCACCAGTGCCCCAAAGAGGCAAATAGTCACAGTGGAACCTGATAACCCACGCTGGGCATTTAAACAGTGGAGGAAATGGGCACGTGTTCTGGAACGTCACCCGGGGCTTGCTGGTCAGACGTTCTGGAACATCACCTGGGGCCTAAGGGTTAACATCCTAACAACAATTTCACCATGGACATCAGATTCTCTGATGTTCATATGTTAAAAAAAGGTGACTTCAGCCTCGGTCAACAATTACTGGCATCTCTACGTCCGACGTCAATGATGCCTCATTCTCACTGCCGACTGTACCCTGACTTATATTGACAGTTACGCTAACAGTTAATACAATTGAAGTTTTCAACATCAGTCACAATGGATCTTAAATGCTTCATCTGCAATCAGACATCTCTAAGTTGATGCAAAGCAAGGGTGTTCTCTTACCAATTCAAATGCATGAACACCCTGTGCGGAATTTAGGAATACCTGAGTTTCTCCGGTAATGCGACATAGAAAACGGAGGACTCAGATCTCCTGAAGTGGTTAGAGAACGAATGTTTCAACTGGGAGACTCAAAAGGTTTACAGGTTTTGTGGGCGTGGAGCGTAATATGAATTATTAGATTTTAACAGACTATTCATGTTATTATGACCATGACAACAGTCAGGCCCGTCCTTTAGGGGGGGCGAACAGGGGCGACCGCCTGGGTCCCAGCGCGTGTGGGGGCCCCGCAGGGCCCAGCACTAGACCCAGTGACCTCGGCCACATTACCTGTTGACTGGTTAATCTGACCTGACGGCTTATGCCACCATCGCAACCGTGACCTTACCATCCATAGCGACAGTCCCATGGGGTTGGTGGGGGTTGGGTCCTCTGACCGCATAATCTGACTCCATATATACATTTTCTGGGGCTCCGCAGTGGCTGAGTTGCCCCGGGCCCCGCACCCTCCTAGGAACGGCCCTGACAACAGTACTGTATATAATTATGTTCAGTACTTATACAGAGAGGCAATTTATTTTATTGCTTTGCATCAGTCTAGGGATACTTGTGCACACTACCCAACAGACAGGATGGTTCAGTAATAGAAATCAAGAAAACAATTGTCTTCTGTGCCTTGGAACCCTTTGGTTAGTGATTTGAGTGTTTGGCCAGAGGCTTCTAAATTGAGATGAGGTTTCCATTCCTCAGATGGTTGAATATAGAGCATTGTTCCATTTTGATTTCTCCTTTACTTTTTTTTTTACAACAGGTCAGCTGAGGCATGTATCAGGAACCAGGGCTTAACTTGATCCTTTACCTTACCAGAAATTTTGGTAGCATCAAGGCTCTTTGTACAGTAGTTGCTATTCATATTGATAGGAAGCTTTGTCTCAGGGCAAATGCATCATCTATGAATAGAATGATCATTTCAAGTAGCAGTTAGATCATCTCTCTTTCTTGGGAGTTTTTGTGATTTAAGACGATCAGCATCCCCCAACATCTTAGTTACTTTGCCGATTCCACAGGGTGGCCCTATGGGGGAAGATGAGTTTTCCGTGGGATTTTGATTTTCTCCTTTTCTCCCCTTCCTCTTATGTTTCAATAGAGTTTGCCCAAATCCTATTCCACCTCTGGCTCTGACTGAGTGAGAGATGATGAGGTCTTTTGTTCTTGATTCCATAAATTACTAAATTGGTGTAGGTTATTGACCACCTCAGTACATTGTTTTAATGGTCCATTTTCAATCCTCGGACACTTTGAGTAGTTATCCCCGGTCAAGCTATGGGAGATTGTACTGCATGTATTGAATTTCTCATAATCATATTCATAGTGAACTTTCTTAAAAAGATGGAAATTACAACAGGTAAAGATTGCAGCTGAAGCTTTAAAAACAGTGACCAACTCAAGTAATGCAGCAGAAGCCTCAGTAAAACAGGAAGAGCTCCTAGCCAGTGCTTCTAGTGTGCTGGGGGAATGGCTAGATAAGCAAAAAGGAAGAGACATCACTGACAATTCTATCTTTGCTGAACTGCCTCGTCATTATGAAGAAGAATTCAACAAAGACATGGAAGCTCTAAATGTAAGTCCTGTATTGTTATTTTTTTTTTTTGTACATCCATTTTTATAAAAATCATTATAGGGTGATTCAAAATATGGGAATATTTTCTTTTTAATTTTAGTATATATATATATATATATATATATATATATATATATATATATATATATATATATATATATATATATATATATATATATATATATATATATATAGTATATATATATATATATATATATATATATATATATATATATATATATATATATATATATATATATATATATATATATATATATATATATATATATATATACATATATATATATATATATATACATATATATATATATATATATATATATATATATATATATACATATATATATATATATATATATATATATATATATATATATATATATATATATATATATATATATATTATATATGAATATAATACCCTATATATATATATATATATATATATATATATATATATATATATATATATATATATATATATATTATATATATATATATATATATATATATATATATATATATATATATATATATATATATATATATATATATATATATATATATATGATTTAAGGGTGATTTAGGGGAATTTTAGGAGTGTTTCTGACTTTATGCGTTTTTGGCTTTACAGTGACCCCTCTGTTAACGAACTCAATCCGTTCCAGAAGGTCGTTCGTTAACCGAAAAGTTCGTTAACCGAAACCATTGTTTCAATGGTTTTTTGCGTAATTGGTTCCAGCTCACCGAAAATTTCCTAAATTCAACAAAAATGGTAGAAAAGTTCACTTACTTTGAGGTGTGTATGTAGAAGGCTCCTGGATGATGATGATGATGATGATGATGATGGGATTTAGAATGGGGGTGGAGGAGAAGGAAGAAGAGAAGGCATTGGGGTGGAAGAGAAGTCACCCCATGGCGCATTTCACCCATAAAATTTTAGCTCTCTTGGTGTAATTCAAGATTATTTTCTTTAAATCAACACTGCACTGCATTATTTATTGTCAATATGTAAAATATATTTCAAAATGACCAATAATTTGCTTGGAAACACAGAAAAAAAGCGTTTAGTTGAAGAGAGTCTCAAGCAAGATGTTACCTCCAGTGAAAACAGAGAGAGACTAACTCCTGTTTGCTGTGTTAAGAGGCTGGATGCCGCGCATTAAACTAGTCACTTTACCTTCAATTATGTTCAATAATTGTTAAAATGACTAAAAAATTGAATATTAAACTTTTAAAATTATTGAATAGTATAAACTTCTGATATTTACTAAAATAGTAAGGAATTTAAGCCCTAGAACCGATTAATGTATTGGCGGACTGATACTAAAGCTGGTTGCCCGGTCAGTGCAAGCGAAAACATGTTGAGGTCGGTTCGTAAGAACTTCGTAAACCGAATTTTTTTTTGTTAACCGAATTGAAGATCCTTATGGAAGGCAGTTCGTTAATCGAAATTACGTTAACCGAGGTGTTCGTTAAACGAGGGGTCACTGTACTTTGTATACAGTATACTTTTCTGTGAGCTGGAACCAATTACCCAATATCCCATTGAAACAATGGTTTCGGCTAACGAACGACCCTCTGGAACGAATTGAGTTCGTTAACCGAGGGACCACTGTACTAGTAGAAACCATGTTAAATTATAAACCAACACTGGAATAATCACATATTAACTAAATTATTAACATGAAGCACGGATTTACAGTGTGAACACTGGAATAATCACATATTAACTAAATTAATTGCATGGAACACAGATTTTTCATTGCATTTGAACAAGCATTTCCTGTGCATGCTCCTCATTCAACTCATTGTTGTCGTCCAGATCTTCCACTGTGCTGCAGCCAGCGGTGTGAGTGTAGCGATCCACACGGCGGGTCCAGTTGTTAGGAATCTGGCAATGGCTATGTCCAGATTGAAGTTGCCAACACTCTCTGTTTGCAACTGAACCATTATGAGATCCGTCAGGTGGTCATCAGTGAGACGACTGCTCCAGTCTGTCTTAATGAGTTTGACCTGGCTAAAACCACTTTCAGCATCAGCCAAACTAGCTGGAATGGAAAGCAGTAGGTCAACCAGATGGAGAAATGAGGCACACCTTTCTCCGTATGATTGGTTGATTTGTTGCCAAGACAGTCTTGAAACAAGTGATGTCTAACTCTTGTAAATGTAACTTTTGAGCACAGTCCATTCATCCTCTACCAAAGTAGGATTCACCTCTGCCTCCATCAGTGTTTTCTCAAGAGCCTGGGCCAATGCTTGCACAGCGCTATCCCCGAAATCTTCATTCCCACTGTACTCTGCAGGCCACAATTTGAAATTCAGAATCCATGCGTTCTGGAGAATCGTACTGGCCATGTCAATAAATCTTTTGTTTCGACTTGAAATCAGTGATGTCAGCATATCACGCCTTGCAGTCTTGAAAGTGTTGCTTCTACCACTCGGCTTCTCTCCTTGGAACATGGTCGTGTCACCTTCCATAATCCTTCTCAGGCTGGGTCCTGGCCAAGTCAAATATTTGTTAAGTTCATCAACTGCAGTCTGAATTTCATTCACGATAGCAGAAATATTGGTTTGACCATGCTGGAACAGCTCTGAGAGGCCCCCAGGGCACTGCACCACATCCAGTAGGAGGTGAAGGTACTGGACTATGTCAGCACTGGTTAGAAGGAGCAGGTAGTTCTTAGCTTTTCTGGATGAATCCTTGTGGTACGTGGGATCATCAGGGTTCTGTATCTACTGCATGTGGAGTACAATAGCCTTGTAACTCTTCAGTAGATACTCCAATGCTTGCAGCATATGCAGGAGCCACCTTCTACCACCCACACGTGTTGGAACCAGAAATGGTACCTGACATATGTCATGAGCACGCTTCAACATGCTCCTGTTGAGAGAACTCTTTTCATAGAACAGGTACAGTATATGCCTAGCAGCAGTAAGTCAACCCTTTTGGCAAGTGGAACTTTCTTTACTGCATCTTTGTAAGCGAGTTTGTTTTGAATGTGTGTGAATTGGTTGTCAAATTTCGTACGCGTTATTATTTTTCGATATCTTGTTTGTATCGGTGATAATCTGAATATGTACTTGAAATTGTTTTTTGATAATAAATGGCATGAATGTTGATGGAAAGGCAGTTTTCATCACTTGTCAAATGTTTTCATTCTTGCCTATTATACTTTCTTCAGGTATTAAATTTTGCTGTCATTGCTTTTATATATTATGCATAGAAAGAATTCCTCAATAATAATTGTACATCTGCATAATTAGACTGCTTTTATTCATTGCAATGCACGGTTTCCGTACACCGACATGAATAGCGGTGGTATCTGTGTGTGACGTCATACAATCTCTGAACCGGCCTGTGTCATCGGCCCACTCGCCCAAAGGGCGATCCCAGACCAGCAAAATAGTACAATCTTGTCGCCCTTATGATATTTTGGTCGCCCTGGGCGACCGGGCGTATGTGAATTTCTACCCCTGGATATACTGTACTGTTTTCAGCTCATTCATTTCAGTAGCTTTTTTTTATGTAAAACTAGTGCTCCTTGGCAAATATTAAGAATTTATTTATATTTTCTAGGTACTTCCTGCAGATGTTATCACCAGAGTCTCAGAATATGTACCCCAAATTGTTGAATATGTCGAAAAGATAATAGCCAATGGTTATGCTTATGAATCTAATGGATCTGTGTACTTTGACGTGGGCAAGTTTGATGCTGAACCCAACCATTATTATGCAAAAGTAAGTTTTCATTTTCATTATGAACTGAATTAGCCATTTAACTTTCTTGACTTTCTCTTAACAGTAAAGGTACTGCAAGTTGCATATTTTTATGGTGATTACATTCCAATAATGTGCTTCCTAATTAATGCAAGGTACCTGAAAATGAGAGGAAACAACACACACACACACACACACATATTTCCTTCAGTCAGTCACTCAATTGACTTACCCATGTCAATAATGTATTTTCCGGACTAAATAGACTGTTTCAATATCAATATATCAATATCAATCAACTCCATGTTATAGGACACTACTTACACTACAAGGCCTCATATCATCATTAATGCTGTCCTACCACACAAGTTATAATTTATCAGCAGCATGTCTGTCCGCAAAGACCACATGATACCATGGCCTTAAATTTATTCATGCACACTGCTGCTTCCTGGATGTCCTTTTCTCTCACTTTTGGGGTTCTTGCATTAAATTCATCTATTTCTTGTTTTGATCTTTCCTTCTCCCTCCTGCTATCCACTTTTTATGTATGCAGCCCAATCTTTTTTACCATTATTTCCCTTTCTTTTCTCATAACATTCTGTACCCCCAAAACAGACTGATCTTCCCCTATCCTGACACTTTGTTCTCTTTCACATAATTTTCTCAGACACTTAGTTTGAATCACTTCTTATTTGCTTCTTTTTCCTGCATCCAGAATCCATGCTTCACACCCAAATAATAAGGCTAAACAATTCTGCTGCACCTCCATTGACATAGTTTTCTCTCCCCACATGATCTTACATCCTTGACATATACAGTACTTAATTTCACTTGGCATCAGTTTTGCTTTTCCCAATGTACTCAAACACAAGCTTCTCTCTCCCTATTGAAACAAAGTACACTCAAGAATTTACTATTTTGCTGTATATTTTCACTGTCTTTCACATCACATATTTATTAACTTGTTTGGTATATACAAGTCCCATGGGATCGATGGAAGGATGTATATCAAGGATTGATCCTGGAAATTCCATACTGTATTCAAACTATGACAAGGAAACTTTGAACCATTCCTCCTCTATAAGGGTTTTTCATGGAACTCGGCTGAACTGAGGCTTGTTAACATGAAATCCAAGATGGTAAGTGGTAGACAGAGAGAAATTAATACATGCAATGAGGAATGTATGGAGAAAGAATCAGTCAAAGCAAAAATGGGGCTGTAGAGGCTAATTTGAGTTGGAGTTACTATACTGTATATGTATTGTAAATTAGGGGCATAGACTGGATACAAGAGGAAGAAGCATATTAGAAGTAACAGAAGTGACTTGTTTGAGAGCAGTAAGTGGGTCGAGTAGGATGCAGAGAATAAAATGCAAAAATAAGAGACATGAAAATGAAATAATTCTCAGGTGGAGAGCTGATCAGGATTGCTAAGGTGATTGATTGATTGATTGATTTTTTTTTTAACACAGGATTAGCCCACTAGGGCACAGGTCAATGACCCACATCAGGGCCTGGGGGCAAAATTATAATAATAATAATAATAATAATAATAATAATAATAATAATAATAATACAGTAATGATGATTATTAATAAAAAAAAATAGAAAAATATTAATTAAAAATACAATACCTTGTATAGTAATAATGATAATGGACCATAAGTAAATACAAATTTTTTAAAAAGATTAATAGTGAGAAACGATTATGTATGTTGTGTTGTCAAAGTAAGAAAAACAATTGAAACCTTGCAATTGTGTGTGAATGAGGCAGAAATTCAGATCAGCAACCTGGGACTTTGTAACAATTTTGTGATGCCATATGGCAGTAGGGTCTACCATTAGATAATGCATTATGCTTCCAATATCTTCCCAGGCGGTAGTACCTGACAAAATGGGAAGGGAAAGATAGGTATAATGGTTTTATAAGTCAATAGGTGGACAAGACCAAGGAGGAAGTGGACAGATAGTGTGATGAATGTACTAGAAGTGAGGGTCAATGACATGCAGGAAGTAGTGCTTGGTGTGCGCGATGCATGGGAGAGCAAGGCATCGAATGGTTTTTGGGAATGTTAGAAAAATAAGAGTGCTTGATGACAGTAAATGAAGAGAGAATCTCCTGTTTGTTCTTATTTCAGGCTACCCTGTTATATAGTAGAGAGGACTTGCACAATTAAAAAAAAAGAGATAGTTTAAATATAACCTGATATAAAAAGAGCATGCAAAACATTATATGTTAGACTAATGATCTGATTTGGTGTTAATAGTTGGTACCAGAGGCTTATGGCAATCAGGAGGCCCTAGAAGAAGGAGAAGGAGCTCTTTCTTTAAATACTGCACAAGAAAAGAGAAGTCCGAATGATTTTGCATTATGGAAGGCTTCTAAACCTGGAGAACCAGCTTGGCCCTCTCCCTGGGGTCCTGGTCGCCCTGGATGGCATATTGAATGTTCTGCCATGGCCTCAGACGTTTTGGGAGAGTCTCTTGATATTCACACTGGTGAGGATATATATATATATATTATTTTTTCATTTGATAAAATGCTCAAAATATTTATTTTGTATGTGTGTGTTAATTGTATTTTTAGTTTTATTCTGCTCAGCAAGGATTGACTAGCGGTCTTTAATTCATTCCTATAAATATTTTGCTGTTGTCAATCTTCTCTTGGTACTTCCTGTTTAACCAGTAACCCATCCATTCTCTAGAAATGAAAAAAAAAATCCATTCATTCTCCTTATTTCTGTCTATTTTTTGTTCTAATTTATATATGTAAGTCATAACTTGTGGTTAGGTACTGTATGCGTATATTTCCTAGGTGGTGTTGACCTCAAGTTCCCTCACCATGACAATGAACTGGCCCAGGCTGAAGCTCACTACAACAATGACTACTGGGTGAGTGTCACAGCTTATTGTAATTTTTATTATTGTGAGGCTTTTGGCATACTCTTTCTCTTACACAAAACCCCCAACATTCATAGGTTTAACTGTCATGGATTTGATTATTCACGGGTACAACCATTGTGGTAATGTTTTCCTGTAGTTCCGCAGAACACTTGTACTGTATTATGTGGTTACTGTACATAACCATACCACGCGGAATGCTGCATTTCACAGCACGCTCTCTGTCTTCAGCCTCCATCACAGTAACACCTGCAGCTCAGCTATTCGGTCAGTTGTTATTGCTCTTTGTTCTAAATGATGCCTCCTAAATGTACAATGAGTGGATCAAGTGCAAAGAGGCAGAAGAAATTGATGACTTTAAGTCAAAAAGTAGAGTTGCCTGATCGTCTTGCTAGGGATGATAGTGCAGCAGCTGTAAGACACCGATATATAATGTGAGCAAGTCAACTGTGAGCGCAATCACGAAAAATTAGGCAAATATTCATTCAACTGTCTCTGCAAGTGCCCCCAACAGTGCCAGATTTAGACCTGTGGAGGCCCATGGGCAGCTTCTTTGTGGAGGCCCCCCTCATTATAACTACCCAAGAGGGTGGGGTGGCGAGTGAAGCGAGCCTAAACATCTGGGAGTTCCGGGGGGGCGCTGTAAGCCCCCGGGAAAATTTTGAAATTTGAACACTTCTTTGGAGAATTTTGAAGCCATATGCAGTTATATTGAGGAAATTAGAACACAGCGCCCTGATGGCATTCGTAATGGAAGTGATAATTCTATGTTTGTCTTTGATACCCCCCAAAATCTTCTACACTACGGAGGGTATACACAAACACTTGTTATCTTGAAAATAGGTTCTTATTCTCGTACGGGAGATATACAGAGGAAACAAATAGACAGTGGGCTTCCACACCATAAGGACTAGCGATCTCAACTCTCTGTATCACTCCGGGCTGGCATGTACAGATGCCAGCATTCACAAGCTGAATACATAATATGTAAATATGATAATTCACATACATAACATGGTGCATAATAAATGGAAATATTACATAGGATTAATACATGTTCTGTAATACTTTACTATACATAATTAATAGAGTAATATAAGAATACACAGCTTAAGGTACTACTTCGTGTCCATATTATACACCTCCCTCCCCCCTATACGCTCATAGTTTCATCTTGAGTGAACCTTTTGTTTCTGAGTCGCTCGGACCTGCGGAGTACCGGGGCAGAAACACAAGGTGGGGATGGATTTACTGTAAAGACATCAACATTAGGGGACTCTACTGGGGAAGGGTCAACACTAGGCAGCTCCACAGGTCGGAGGAAACGACGGTTCCTCCACCATACTCTACCACTAGGAAGACGCACTTGGTAGTCCCTGGACCGGCCAATACCCATGACAACCCCAACCTTGTCCCAGCGGTGAGATACCGGATCTTGAATCCTGACCTGCTGGCCGATACTCAACCTGGGAAGGGGGCAGGCATGACAGTCGTACCGAGCAGCGATATCTGCGGCTCGTTCTGCTGCACAGCGGTCACATTCTTCAGTCTTGGCTTGCCATTCTTGAGAAAAAGACTTCGGGTGGGCAGGAACACAAGAACTGAGATGATGTCCATATAGAACCTGGGCTGGGGAGCGTCCGGTGAAGTTCGGGGTGTTGCGTAACTCTAACAAGCCTCGATCGAAGTCCTCGCAGTCGATATTTCCTGGGGGTGACACCTTAAGGATCAGGTGTTTAACAGTCTTGACTGCGGCTTCAGCGTGTCCATTCGCCTGGGGGTAGTGGGGCGAGGTCACGACATGACGGACTCCCCAACGCTCCATGAAGTCCCGGAACTCGTGGCTGGTGAACTGGGGTCCTCCATCAGTCCTGAGGCGGAGGGGAACACCAACTTCTCTGAAGTAATGTCTGAAATTCCGGATGGTAGCAGTAGCCGTTGTATCACTACCACAGGGGACGACAACAGGCCATCCAGACAATCGGTCGGCAATGACGAGGAAGGACTTCCCTGCCACTGCAAAGAAGTCGGCCGACACAGACTCGAAGGGTCTTGAAGGGTTATCGTCGCACATTAAAGGTTCCTGTTGCTGGCTGGGTTGCAGAATCTGGCACGGCTCACAGGCACGGACGGTACTTGCAATGTCCGCGTCGATTCCGGGCCAAAATACAGTCTGCTTCGCCCGTCGCTTGGTGGCCTCCACTCCTCGATGGCTGTCGTGAAGGCGGGTCAAGGTACGGCGGCGTAGGGCAGCAGGAATGACTACTCGTGGACCATACAAGACGAGGTCTCCGTCACAATAGAGGTCCTCGCGTATCTTCCAGTACGGGAGTAGCGATTCATGAAGGTCGTATCGGTTAGATGGAAATCCCTGGGACACACAGTCGACGAGCCGGATATAGGAAGGGTCGGCCCGGGCTGCGGTGCGGAGATCTTCAAGGGTCTTGTCTGCATCCGGTGCTGTAGACTCTTCTGATGTGAAGACGGCCTTCAATGAGACTACTGACTTGAGGGATGCAGCAGCTGTAGAACACAACATCTCGTCCTCTGGGGTGGGGCGACTGACAGGGGCGCGGGACAGGGCATCCGGGATGCACAGCAGCTTACCCGCACGCCACACAGCCGTGAAGAGATAAGGCGAGAGCTTCTCTTTCAAACGTTGAAGGCGAGGATTCTCTACTGCATCCAAAGAGTAGTGATTGATAATAGGTACAAGAGGGCGATGATCCGTGAAGAGGGTGAAGTGCTGAAGTCCTATCAGGTAGAAGCGGCACTTCGCCATCGCCCAGACAACAGCCAACATCTCCAGCTCAATCGTGGCATATCGGGTCTCAGCGTCCGTCAGGAACCGGGATCCACACTGAATTAAGCGGAGTTGTCCACTGCCATAGTCCTGCAGAAGGGTGTAACCAACGCCGTAGAGTCTGGAGGCGTCAGTCTGGAGGACGGTGGGTAGGGCTGCTTGACTCGCTGGAAGGCCTCTTGATAATCTGGGGTCCACAGGAATGTCCTCCTGGGGCTCAGCAGGGGGCATAACGGCTGGGCTGGGGCGGAGATGTCAGGTGAGAATTCAGCCAGCTGATTGACCAGACCCAAAAAAGAACGGAGGTCTGTCAGGTTGGCAGGGGTTGGAAAATCCCCGATTCCACTTCATTTCTCCGGGTCAGCTGCGATACCTGATGCTGAGAGAGTGTACCCACAGAAGTTCACTGATGGTGCGGCGACTACAAACTTGTCAGCGTTGAGAGTAATCCCGTACTTTCGACATCTGGTGAGAACTTCATATATACTGGAGAGGTGGGCACAGTAGTCTTCGTCATGGAGTAAAATATCATCAACCACCTTGACACAATTCGTGACTCCTTGAAGGGCCGCGTCACCACGTTGACAGAATGCATCGCCCGTAGCGGCAAATCCCATGGGGCCTCTGCAATACTGATATCTTCCATTTGGTGTGATGAATGTAGTCAAATGCTGGTCTTCTTCGGCCAACTTGATCTGTCAATAACCACATAAGGCGTCCATCGTTGTAAAAAACTTCGCTTTCGGGTCCACATTTCGAACAGCTGCGAAGGGTGTGGGTGAAGGGTGGGCTGGACGGGAAACTTGCTGGTAAAGTTTTGATAGATCGGTGGTGATCCGTACTCCACCACGAGGTTTGGCGACGGAGAGGAGAGGGTGGCACCAAGGTGAAGGTTCGTCTCCGGCCGGCTTGACGATTCCCTGAGCAGCCATGGAGTCAAGCTCTTGTCTAACTAGCTCCTTGTAGGCGTGAGGAATCAAATGAGGGGTGTGGATGGCAAAAGGTGTGGCACCATCCTTAAGATGAATCTTCATAGGTGGACCCACCATCGGCTTGAGTGGCGTGGATCCTAAAGATTTCTTCGTAACCAACACGTCAGCAAACTCCTTGAGAAGGTAAGATCTTGCATCAGAAGGGGACGTGTTAGTAGAGATAGGGAGTTCCTTCAACCTGTTGACATGGGTGACCTTTAAAATAGGTTTGGGGAATTCCTTGGAAATAATGGCCAACTCTTGTCAATGGCCATATGATAAAAGCGGAGTCGGGATCCCATCATGAACATCAATCCGGGCTGAGCAAGACTGCTTACCAAAGGTAAGAATAGCCCAGAAAGATCCCAAAGCTGGAGCCATCTTGGAACCATCAGCTGTCAGTTTCGTTGTCTGAGGAGGGGGATGTAGGTTGCTCCGGGGTATTCCCAAACTTGCTAAGTGTTGTGGACCAATTACTGAGACGTCAGCACCGGTGTCAGGTAACATGTGAAGACTGGATGACAAGTTACCGTGAGAAATGACAACACTGATGTGCTGGGGCGTCGTGTCTGTGGAACAATGTACACGACGGCAGGAACGACTGGACACAGCGTCTTGATGCTTGCCAGAAGGAGGGGGCGCGCCAACACTACCTGAGGATGACTTCTTGGATCCTTGGTGGTGTCCTTTCTGTGTCTTCTTACGACAACATTTGTCATAATGGCCCACACGACCACAAAGTCTGCACTGAACTTTGCTAGCAGGGCACTTGACTGTGTAAGCCCAGTGACCCTGGCGGTCGCAACTTCTTCACACGCTTTGAGCAGCTGGGCACTGGGAGGCATCATGCTGTCTCGCGCAGCTGTTACACAAAGCTGCTGCTGAAGGTGTAGCTGGAGGGTGAGGGGTGGGGTTACCTTGCTGCTTCTTACCCTTTCTGTAGGAAGACACCGCCCTCACCTGGTCAGGTTGGGAGCGTAAAGCTGAAGTCTCACACCTGGCGGCCTCGTATGCTCGACATTTTGTAACAACATCTTGAAGGGGGGAGGTGGGGTCAAGTGAAATGAGACGCTGAACTAGCTCTTCATCTCCAATACCCGTTAAAATGATTGTCTTGAGTTGTGTCTCCTCACAAACTTGAGAATTTCCAGGACAAACATCAACTTCCTCTGAACATCTTTTGAGTCTTACAAAAAATGCATCAAAAGATTCTCCAT